CAGCAGAGCCACCACGGTCACCTGCCCTGCCGCCCCCTCCATGGGGCTCGAGCCATTGATGCTCCATGCTGGTGCCTCCTGGCAGATCCGGCTGCTGTTGGCCACCTCCTCAGAGGCCGAGGCCAGCCCCAGCCAGGTGGCCAGGGCCAGCACCAGCAGCCTCATCCCGGACTCTGGGCCCTTAGGGGGACACGGGGTGTTATTCTCCTTCCAGATCCACTGCAACCCCAAACTACCTCCCTGCACCCCCCACCCAGGGCAGACAAGGACTGGTGGGCAGTGTTGGACTGCTCCCAGCACAGCACTGGGAGCCAGGAAACCCTATTCTGGGGGGGCAAGGAGAGGGAGATGAAATGGGGGATTGGGGTGTCCAGCTCCCAACCACCACAGCAGCTTTGCTGCATCTTTTGTGGGCACCCACTGCCACAGCACCCTGTTCTCCCCAGCAGTGAGACACCCCCTCCACACAACAGAAGATGAAGGTGCTGCTCCTCCCATGGGCCTTGTCCACCTCCCTAATGCCATAAAACAAACCCAGCCCCAGACAGAGGTCTGTCTTTGTCCCAGAGGGGAGCAGGGATGCAGCCCTCATCATCTCGGCTACCAGTGAGCAGTCACTGAGACAGGAATAGTTTCACCTTCAGGTCACCTTGAGAATCCTTTATGCCCCATGAAGCTTTTTGGGGGTACACAGAGCCTTTAAAGCCCTCGCCTCTGAATATCTGCCTGAATTCCCTTCCTCTCACAGCCCCCTAACCATTCCCACCCCAAGATATGCCCCGTCCCTCCAGCATCCAGCAGGTTTAATGGGCAGGGGAAGGATATAGGACTGGGGGGGATGATCTGGGGAAGGAGCAGGGGGCTGCAGGGTCTGGTCAGGATGGATGTGCTCCCAATCCCCAGCCCTCTCCCCCGCGAGAACGAGTCCTCAATACCGCACTTCTCGCTGCCGTCCTCCCTTGCTCCCAGTCCCAGCAGCTTTCAGCAACTTCCAGCTGGCCCTGATCTCCCTTTTATCTCCTGTCCACTCTCCCCGCCCAGGAGGGAGGAGAAGAGCCTGGCTGGAACAGGGACTGCTCCCTGGCCACCACCACCTGCCTCGAGGGGATGGCAACAAGGCAGGCACTGTCCCCCTCCGTGCCATGTGGCTTCGGGGTCCTGCTGCCACAGCCCAGCCCGTGCCATGCTGGGGCAAAGCGGTGCCTGGTGCCGGGCTGGCACAGAGGGTGACAGGCAGTGCTGAAGGGAAAACACAGGCACAGCCACTCGAAATCACCCCATAGGCACAGGAGGGCTGGGGGCACTGCCAAGGGCATTGCTTGCACCAAAGGGCTGCAGGACTGTGGGGTAACATTGAACAGTATCATCCATGCACAAGGTCCCAGGGGAGCCACCATGCCACCCTGCCTCTGCCACCCTGCAGCCAAAGAGATGGGCCTCACACCCCGGGGTGCTGCAGCTCCCTGCTCTGCACAGTGTCACCCTGAAGGCCGTGCTGTTCTGTTGTGTGGCCCCACAGCCATCCCCCAGTGTCCAATCCCATGCCTCCTGTCTGGCCCCACATTAGTGGGGCTGTGGTCGTGTAAGGAGCCAGTGCTCCCTTGGGAAATCACAGCAACACTGGATTCCACCCCCCAACCAAACAAGAGGAGCTCACCACTCTGGCAGCACACGGACATCTCTGCAAATATTTGAGCAGTTTATTGTACCTGGGCTCTGTACAAAAACATGATAAGGCAGGGAAGGGCAGCAGCCACAGTCAGAGAGGGGGCAGAACATGATCCCAGACACATGAAGAGAGGAGATTCGTCGGAAAACAGCCACGAGTGGCAGGGAGAGAGAGGATCGATCGCTGCTAGGGGGACGCAGGGGCTCAGTGGTGTCTGCAAGGGCCTGGAGCCATGGGTTGGGATCGGGGAGCAGGCGGAGCTGCACGGGGTCAACCTGGAGCAGCCCCATCTCATGCCTGACACCCGGCCTTCTGCAGAGCTCTCACCCCCACCCACCAACCTGCTGCTTCCCTAAGCCCCACTGGGCATCCCTGGCCCGTGAAGCGCCCAGCACTGACCACAGGCACTACGTATTCGGGTTGGATTCGGGCTGGCAGGGAATGACCCAGCACAGACACGAGCTGCATCCCAGGG